AAGCAAAAGAGGTCACTGGCTTTTGGCCTGAGAAGAAATGTAAAACTTTAAAGGATGATTTATTTTTTCCAGGACAAAAAATAAAATAAAAGAAAAAAGAAAAAATAAACCATGTAGACTCCAGCAGGAAGAATCCCCATGCAGAGACATAGCGCAGTGGGAGAGGTTTCCCAGGAACTGCACAGTGTGTCTCAAAGGGCTATGAAAGGTGTGTGCACTGAGTGAGAAGTAACCTAGTGTTAGGAGCTCAGCAGACAGTTTCAGTTTCACTTTCAGTTTCACCCGTTATTTGCTTTGTTACTGCCAAGAGCCTGCAGGAGTCATGGGCGGGGTGTGTGGGGAGGGAGGGGGGTGGCGCTCTGCCATGAGGAAGTTTGGCTTAAAGACACGTCCCAAAGGAGGAGATTGTCTCAAAAGTCGTTTCTGGTCCCCACCTGTCGTTTTGCTCCTCAGCATGGCTGCCTAATGTCGCAGCAGGATTTTTCAAACATGCATGAATGAGTCAAAGCAAGGCTTTGGGCATGTTTTTTATGAGAGTATAACATTATAAAATGATATAAAACTCAAAAAAGTTGATTTTACATGGTATTGCCCCTTTAAATAATAAAAAACAAAGGGGTTCTATTTAAAAATTTATATTTTATTATGTGAGGCCTTTTACTGGTCATTGTATGATTCTGGCTGGGAGTTAAGTGTTGTCCTTTAGATGTTTAAATGTTTTTCTGCAAATTATTTAAAAATGAATGAAACTGATCTGGACGCAGACTTACTGCATGAACCATAGCTGTAAGGCTGTGCACTTTTTAAAAAAATGAAATGCTGTGAGTGTTGGCCTACATTGTTTCATGTCCAGAATCTCGCTGGGGTAAATCTCCACCTCTGTCTTCCCATCAGCCTCGTSCTCATCAAGCCAGCGGTGACTGGGGAACATGTAGTTCTGACCGTGGACTGGAACCATAATTTGAACGCTGTCCAAAAACCAACCAGCGCGCATTCCTTTGTTCGTGTGACCAATCATTAAACGGTTAATCTGGAAACACAACAATTATCAGACAGAAGTGGGTTAATATTGTGATTTTTAGTAGTGATTATTAGTTTGGTAGTAGTGGTGTATAAACATGGGAGAACCTGTCCAATATCAAAAGATTCCACGGTGAAGATATCAATGCGACCCGTCTCAAAGTAGTTCCCCAAGTTATTGGTAGAAATCACCAACATCATCTTACTGCTGTCTCCTTTTTCCCCGTAGAGCTTCACAAATACGTTGGAGTCTGAGCTGCCGCCAGGGATGTCACCTGTCTTCACTGCAATATGATAGCTGATGTCTGACACAAACACACACACAGACATGAGTTCCAGGATCAAATCTAAACCCCAAATTAAACCTGGTTTTATTATAACTTACTATAAAGACGCTGTCCATCCGAGAACGGCACCAGTTCTCTGAATATCTGCCCGTCGTCCTCGTTGCGGTCCAGCCACCTGYGGAGCACAGTCAGAGAAAAGCTCTCATCTCATTTCATGATCACATWCAGGCTTGGAATGACTACTTAATGTGTGCACTCTCAGAAAAATTCATTAGAAAAACCTGATTATTCATGTAATTATCCAATCAGCCACTTACTCGACAGCGACACAAAGCATGAACTCCTTCAGCTGAGGTCAGGAGTTTCAATTTATGCTAATATCAAATGTGAAATGTTAGCCTAAGTCAAGAAAATGTTTTCCTTTTTTAAAGTTTAGTGTGAAAAAGGAGGAAAAATATGAACTCTGTAACCTAAACGTCCCTAGATGCCTTGATGCCAGTCAAAGAGTTTAGAACGAAGCAACTGTCATGGTCATGGGTGTGGCTTCTTTGCGGCAGGGGGCTGGCCGGGCGTCCTGGTGCGGGCCGGGCCGGGCCTTGGCTATCTGCTCCTCTCCASCTCAGAATGATTGGGTCTACCTCCCGGGTTTGGGTGTGTGCTGCCCTCAATAGGGGGTGGGTGCATGTCCTGGACCTGCGGGGTATAGAGTGTGTATCGGGGGTAAGAGTGGAATGTGGCGTCCTTGTATGTCTTTGATTGAGTGGG